TGCTGTTATTGCTAGTATCACTCAGCCCTCTGTGAATAGTAAACAGCCATCAGTGTGCTAATGATCCATTGTTAGGCTGATGGTCCTTCTTGATCATGTGAGCAGCTGGTTTTGGTTGTCAGCAGCAAACTGGTTGATCCACTCTGAGAAGGTGCTATTTAAGAGACTGAGCTGAATACAGCTCCTCAGACTGAGGAAGTCTTTCGGATGAGAGACAAAACGTCTCTACATTTTTTTGCTTTGCTTTGTTTTTTTAAATGTCCAGAGGACCAGATTGAACTTTTTTAGATTTTTCTACCTGGATTATTGAGCATGCATCAGGATGTCTCCAACTATAGGTACTTGGGTGTTCACCTGAGTAACAATCTCACCTGGGGCAACACTACCAGTATGATCAAGAAGACACATCAGAGACTTTCTCAAGTGGCTGAGGCGAGCTGGACTCAGGAGCTCAGTCCTCACCTCCTTCTACAGTTGTGCAGTGGAGAGCGTCCTGTGCTCCAACACCAACATGTGGCATGGAGGCTGCACAGCTGGAAAGAAAAAAAGCTTTGCAGAGAGTGATGAAAGCTGCACAGAAGACTGTTGGAGTCAGCCTCCCCACCATCACAGACATCTACACCTCCAGATGCAGGAAGAGGACCACCTGCATCATGAAGAACCCCACTCACCCAGAATCCTCTAAGAGTAAATGAGGATCTTTTAAGATTCTATAAAACAAGGAGCACTTAAGTTTCTATTCAAATTTGTTTAACCATTTTAATAAGAATATATTGAAAGAAAATAATTTAATATCCTAACATTAGTCTTGAAACCCTGTTTATATTTTTTTCTTGAATTTGCAACTCTAATTTAAAAAGGCAAAAAAATAAAGAACTTCCAATTTTTTTTCTCGTTTTTCTAAGTGGCTCTAATATATCGTCACAAAAACCTGTTAAATCTCAAAAACAAACTGGTAATATCTCATAACACAACTAAAATCAGACAAGTGTTGTTTAATGTTACACTTTATTTGCAGCTTGATTAAACTTGAAGAAAACCAATCAGATGCAAATCTGTCAATCTTTATTTATTTATTTTTTTTGTTACATTTACATGTTTTACCAGCTACCAATGTAGACATATTGTATGTTGCAATAAGTGATACGTTTTAAAAGAAAATAAAAGCACTTCTCTGATACAGTTTTTCAAGTTTAATGCACTTTGAGATAACAGCTTTCTACAATACAGTTAGGTCAAGTTATAACTTTGGTGTAATTCCTGATTTCCCTGTTGCAGTTCTCCAAAATTAACAGTCACTTGAGATACACCAAATGTACAAACCCCATCTCAAGAAAACTTGCCAAAGTTGACAACAAAATTGAAATAATAAACATGGTTTGAGGGGTGGCATGGTGGCGAGGTTGGTGGAGCTACCGTCTCTCAGCGAGCAGGGGCCTTTCTGTGTGGAGTTTGCATGTTCTCTCTGTGCTGCATGGGTTTAATCCTGGTACTCCAGTTTCCTCCCACAGACCAAAAACATGCATGTTAGACTGATTGGTAACTCTAAATTGTCTCTAGGTGTGAGTGAGAGAGTGAATGGTTGGTTGTCTCTTTTGTCTCTATGTGTCCCTGTGAAGGACTGGAGACCTGTCCAGGGTGTCTTTGTCCTGTGACCCAAAAAGGAAGAAGTGGGCAAAAGACAATAGACTGATGGATGGATGGAACTTGTTTTAAATTAATAAATATTTAATTTTATTTAAATTATGTTACAAATGCAAGAATAAGGAAAATAATATAGTATTCACTAATTAATTATGTTGTAATTACTGTAGAAAAATATAAAAGTAGCATTCCTTGAAGGAATTGTCAGCTGTCTTATAAAACTTTTAAATAAAGATCTAACCTGATCTATCAGAACTTCAAACTATATGTTGGAGATGAGTATCAACAACTATCACACCAAATTTTAGCTCAATGTCTGTAAAAATTGCTAAATAGTGCATTTTAGCTGTGGACGCCATCAGGAATTATGTAATCAGTTGTCCATGTAAAATTCACGCAGTGGTTTATGAGACGGACAATTAAAACACCATGACACTTCCATCTAACACCTCCTTTCATGGCAGCAGACAATAAATAAATGTAGACTCTAATGCCAGCTACATACTTTAAAATAACTGAACAAAGTAAACACAGTAAGAAAAATGCATAACAGTAATAAAACTCTGGGTGACACTGCACTCAACAGATTAGCAGGTGACACATTATTCCAGAGATGCACATAAAATGTGGAAAAGCTAAAGGTGCCCTTCACGATGAATGACTACCTCAGTATGCTCTCCAAGATCTGTTAGATTGAGGCTGGATCACAAAAAGTTTGGAAAACATTGTCATCTTGAAGGCAATCATGATGCTGCTACAATCTTAGTACTGCTAAATATGTTGTTTTTTTCCCACCAACTGTCCAGACACTTCCCTACACCCTCACCACATATGTCCACCCTAACACAGCTGTCAAACCATGTCAAGTGCAGCTACATGCTAGTAGATTGATCCACGCTTAAACAGGGTTACAACCACAGGCATCACGCTCGGTCCAAGTTGTTTCCATGACCCTGTGAGAATAGCAGTTGAGAGTGCAAGAGGCTACTGTTGCCAGCCCTGCCTCAAACTCTCGACAGCCAAGCCACATGCCATCTCCTTCCCTATGATATCAACCTCAGGAGTGCCAAGAAAAACCATTGTCACTAAACACAGTTCATATTTGCTTTCATAAAGATAACAGATCACGTATTACTAAAGCAACTGGTCTTAGTTGAACTCTCCTCAGAAACTCAGCAGAATTCCCCCAGCATGAGCCATTTCAGATGGGCAGAGAAATGTAGTACACATATCCTCTGCTGTGAAGAGTCCAGTATCCAACATGTTCAACATGCCTTTTGGAAACATAGAGATCAGGTTCTACATGCCAAAAACAAGTGAGAACATCTATGCTAATATCAAAAATAGATGACAAAGGCAGCATCTGTGACCACATGGGTGGCTTATTTATCTGGAAGGGTATCATTGATGGGCAGCACAGTGGCACAGTTGGTAGAGCTGCCGCCTCGCAATGAGAAGGTCACCGGATCAAACCCTGGTTGGGAGGCCATTTTGGGTGGAGTTTGTATGTTCTCTCCGTGCATGCGTGGGTTTTCTCCTTGTACTCCAGTTCCCCCCACAGACCAAAAACAAGCATGTTAGGCTGATTGATAACTCTAAACTGTCCTTAGGTGTGAGTGAGAGAATGGTATGTGGCCCTGTGATGGACCGGAGACCTGTCCAGGGTGTCCCTGCCTCATGCACAGTGACTGCTGGATATGGGCACCAGTGACCCCCATGACCCAAAAAGGAAGAAGAGGGTATAGATAATGGATGGATGGTATCATTGGTTCCAAAATGTGTATATTGAAATCTTTAAACTTTTCACTTTATAAAGACAAATTTCACTCAGTGGTCTTTAATTTCTTTAGATTCAGTCTGTTCAGTCTGTTTGGAAATGGAGTTTAGACTTGTATACTGGTAAATATTACTGTGCATTCCTAATAACTGGACATTGTTTCAGTTCAAGTAACAGATGAGAAAATAAATATTACACTCATGTCTTTATAAGAAATTTGAGCAAAAATACAGTTAGCTTGACATGAGGTTTGCCCTTTCAGTGATGACTGAATAATGTTTAGTGAACAAATAATATATATGGAACCTTTATCAAGAAAGCAGAACTGTATAGTTTAGAAAATGCTCAACTATTCCTATTATGAAGGATTTGTGGCTGGAGAATATGTCCCTGTAGCTGCCACTCTAACTATGTCAATATATAGATATGCAAGTATCCGTACATTTAAAAGAATGAAAAAAGAAATAAAGTAAATAAACAATAAAAAACAAAAACAAAACATCAAACTAATCCAAAGAGTGGATTTAGTGTAATACTTGAGTTTTACAATTAGGCCATGAGAAAAATCCTGTACTGGGCTTAGTTTTTGAGTTTGTGGCAACTTTCTGGGAGCAAGCAAATGTCACTTGATTTATGGGTAGGATGGTGTCAGGCATCTAGGAATGTAAAGTTCCCATAAAAAACACTTGCTCCTTAATTAGTAATTAAGCTATTAATTAGCAGCATGTCAAATATACAGAATTTACATATATAAGCTGAAAAAATACAAAACAAACTATATTCCCATGAATAATATGTTTGTTTTTCAATTTCAAATGTTAACAACCTCAACTGTTATATAATTTTGTATAAATAATTATTTGGTCTTTTCATGTATTGGAGCCCAAAACTGTCAGTAACTGAGTCTAATGAGCTATGTTGGCTCTTCCTCTTTTGATCTGATGAGGTCCAACTTGTAGATGTGTGATCAGGTATGTTGTATGGTCTGGAGACAGTGGCACTGACAAAAAGATGGAAGAAAAACTGGAAGTAGCAGAAATGAAGATGTTGAGGTTCTCCTTAGTAGTGACAAGGATGAATAAGATTAGGAATGAGATCATCAGAGGTACAGCACAGGTTGAACTGTAGAGATAAAGTTAGAGAGGCCAGACTGAGATGGTTAGAACATGTCAAGAGGAGGGACAGTGGTTGGGACATGTCCAGAGGAGGGACAGTGGGTATATTGATAGAAGGATGTTAGAAATCCAGCTGTCAGGAAAAAGACAAAGAGGAAAACCAAAGAAGAAATATATGGATGCAGTTAGAGAGGACAGGGAGGTAGCTGGAGTGAGGACAGAGGATGCAGAGGACAGAGTGAGATGGAGGACGACTCACTGTGGCGACCCCTGAAGAGGAAAAAGCCGAAAGAAAAATAAGTCTAACTTTTAGGTGTAGGCATATCACATGGCCATATAGATTTTAAGATGTCTAATTTCTAATTAGGTTATTTTTAAGGCCTTCTTACCAAATTAGGAGCAACTATTAGTTTGGGAATTTTTTTAAATTTTGCCACATTTTCTACTAAATAAAACCACAAATGAATTGCCCCTCAAAAATTGCCACAGAGTGATAAGATACCAATTTTGTCCCATGGCCTAAATGACTTATGAAACAAATGATCTGAGTTGATAGATAAACAAGTGGCGTTGTGACTGCAGTAAGGCACCTCACTCAGCCTTCATTTGTTCCCTGACATCTGAAGGCAAAGTTTCGAACATTGCATCCTCCACTATAAGGCCACTCTGCTTCAAAGCCCGACAGGAACCAAGCTCTTGTGGCAGGAACTCAAAATGGTTCCCTTTGAGTTCCAGGTAAGTCAAAAGAGCCAGGTAAGAAATTTTTGGTGAGAGTACAGACAGCGAGTTCTTGCCCAGTTTTAATGTTTTGAGCTTTTTGCAAAAGAAAAGTTCATCAGGTAGGTTTTCAAGTTTGTTACAAGAGACAGAGAAGTACTGTAGACTCTGAAGAACTCCAATTTCTGGAGGGATGAATCGGATGTCATTGTTGGATAGATCAAGGTAGCGCAGCTTGTGGCACAAAAACAGGTGTGAGGGCAAAATCTCAATCTTGTTGTGACTGAAGTAGAGACGCTCTAGGCTGCTGAGCTTTTTGATGTGCTCTGGGATATACATGATGCCGTTGTGCCAAAGTTTGAGACACTTGAGTTTCCGAAGATGCTGGAAGCTTACAATCTCTTCAATAGAGCGAAGGTTATTCTCTTTCAGGTCAAGCTCTTGCAGATTTGTCAGGCTGAAGATTGAATGAGGAATGCGTTCCAGATCACAATGCACAATCTCCAGTTCTATCAGACTGGTCATCTTTTTCAGGTTGTTGAGCATTACAAGCTTAGTTCCATCACTGTGTAAGTACAGTCGCTGCAGATGGCTGGACACATCTGCAAATGACTGGGGTATCTTGGTCAGATTGCTTTTAAGGTAGAGAGTTTTCAGGCATTTCATCTCCCGCAGAGACTCAATAACTATATTCTTGGAGGCATCAGGACTGAGTGATCCAGTAAGATACAGTTCCTCTAGGTTGCGCAAACCGTACATCCAGTTCGGAAGTTCCCTGTTGTCATCAAACTTTACACGGAGCACTTTCAGGTTTTCTTTGAGGAAGGAAGTAGCCGTTGTGTGCAGCTTCAAAGAGCACTGGTAAAGAGACAGCTCCTGGAGGTTTTCCAGCTGAGAAATAGAGGCAGGGATGGTGACGTTGTTGATCATTTCAAGCTTGAGCGACTGCAGTTCTGTCAACTCAAAGACAGTGTCAGGTAAACCCGGAAGCATGAATAGCTGAAGTTCAAGTCTGTTGTTTGAGTTAATCTGGAGTCTTTGACGCAATTTCTCAGCAGTCCATTCATGGTTGAGATTGAGTTGTTTGAGCTTATTCTCACTGACCTCAGAAAGAAAAACTGCAAATCGTTTGGAATAGAGTGGGTCATATTGATCTATCATGTGCAACATAAAAGCAAAGTCATTTTTGACATCTGGGATGTCATTGATGCCTGTTTCCTGACGCACATACTCAAAGGAATATTCTTTCAGTGAGCGGTAGAAGAGCCAGTAGGAGGTATAGAGGCTTGTTAATCCATAGACAGCCACCAAGCACAAATAGCAATAAGACAGTTTAGAAAAAAGATGAGCCATGGTGTGATTACACTGAAAGTCTTTATAGCCAGTTATGTCTTGGATCTCAACTTCACAAGGTACTCTGTTCCGCACTTGATTCACCAGACAGCTGTTATAGGCAATGATCAGGAGGAACTTAAACACCTTGAATACAGTCTGACGGACATACATAAGGTAGAGGATATCTCCCTCTTCAACATGTAGTCGGAACTTCTTCACTTTTTCAAAAAGAGCTTTAGCTTGTTCACCTTCTTTTTTATCAAGGACACTTGCAGGTGGCTGATCCACTACAATCTTTTCTGGGATAGAACGAAGGGACTGCGTTTTCTCAAGACTTCCTTCTCCAGGAGACACACCAGTGCTGGATCGAGAAGTGCTACTCTTTTTCTGGTCCTTTTCTTCTGGATTTTCTCCAGACACCTCGGACAAAGCACGAGTGGTCCAGGGAGAGTCAAAACACTTGCCAAGCATTGAGATAAAATGCTCTATTTTAGAACTTGAGCCAGGGAATTTAAACCAAAAGTTACTGCATACCATGAAAACTACAGTGTGTATGAGAACCAAGTAAGGAAAGTACTTGGCATACCAATGCAGAGCCTTTTCATAACACATCTGATTGATAAAACTGTACTGTTGTAGATCTAGATCATTTTTCCGGCCTGTCATTTCTTTCGGCACAGCTGTGATGTTGGAATCCAGATGTAAAAGTGAATTTATTGCCACTTCACTGATGTTTCTGGCAGAAATTGGTATTCTCTGTGGGAGGCATATGATTTTATCTTGCATCACCTGCAACACAGTAAGAAAAAAAAAAGAAAAAAAAGATAAGAACAATGTTGTAAACATACATTAAATTTAGATTTCATTTCATTTTATTTACCAATATTGAGGTAGACTTATTGGTTGCAAAATGT